CATTGTCACGTGGTATATAGCAGCTACGTGGAATAAGCTTATCCTCTCAATCTTACACGTTACACATCGGGAGCTCCGGCAGTGCCTAAATCTGAATATTATAAAAACGTTAAAACTTAAATGGCGATCATTTAGGTGTAACGCCATCACTCGCCCACATCTCAGACTTTCACATCTCAAACATTTATTTTCACATAAAAAATTACACATATAATTATCAAGAGTATATAATGGGAGTTCTCCCATATTATATATATACTCTTCGTTTCTATAATGTACGTCGATGGTTGCTCAATTAAAACTGACTTCTTCTCACTCACTCATTTGTGTCCTTTTTTGTGGTGAGCTACAGTGTCATTGACACTTTCATTATGGTTTCCCCTTGAGTGATAATTATATTCAGATTTGAGTGTAGAAATAAGCGAATAAATGAATAAACGAATGAATGAATAAACATTTATAGATAGACAGGGCTCTTGTAAATACCATAACAAACTGAAATTGTAATTCATTGTCGAAGCCACAATAACTGTTGAAGTGTGTCATCTTATTTTATTAGTGTATCATCATATTATATTATCTGTCTGTCACTGTTGAGGCCATCCTTAAAAAATTCTATGTTTGCTGTCCCCCGACCCATGATTGTTTTAGTGGGTAGGTAGGTAGGTAGGTCTTTTTTGTGAGGCATAATAGTTATTTTAAGTCTGTCCTTATGTTTGCCACACATGCTTTGTGTTTCAGTCGTAACTATGAGAAATGTAAAAAAAAAATGGAACCCAAAATGTAAAAAAACAACTTTTGGGTCGCGGCTATTTTCGTGGGTCGGTCGGAGGACAGCAAACATATAATTTTTTAAGGATTGCCTGAGCACAATGTCCCGGAGCATCTTGTATGATTAAAACTAAAGTTTTCCTGAGTTTATTCGGAATTTGCCACAAAAGCACACACCTATCTTACAAGACTCTTCAGTGTCGACCAAATTGACCGCGCATTCATAAAATTATTCTATACTTCTGAATCTATCATGGAATTTGCAACAAATTAACATAATTAATTAAATTAGCTTGAAGCATACACATTGAATTACGCAGTATATGCAGTAGCCTTTCAGCCCTTCAGCCTTTAATAATGTTTTTTATTTCTAGATCCACCAAAGCAATAATATCAAACAATAGGCATACATTGGTACATATATGAACAATGATTAGGCGGGGGATATCTTTCACGTAACTTAGGGACGTTAGGGTCAGCTCTTTCACAGTATGGCTGTGTAGTCTGTACAGTTATTTTTTTCATCTTCCTCAGTGGGAGATTTCATTGGGTTTCTTTAGATTCATCAGCTGAAATAAAAATGAGGTCAACAGTAGCGTGCACCTAATGCTATACACGTGATTTTATAGGGCAGCCTAATGACATTTCATAAAAATGTGCGTAATTATGAGAGCTATATTGTGTTCTTGCTATAGAGAAGAGTCGACAGAAACCCTCTTTAAGTAACCAGTCATATGTGGGTTATTATTGGATTTACGTCCTTTCGACGTGTAATTATATTTTAACATATGTGTTGATTCTTTCCTTATTGAGGGGCTATTAGGTACTACTACTCCACCGTGCGTTAAACTCGTACACATTTTGGGTGGCCTAAAGGTAGGAAGGAGAGCAAGTGCAAATTTATAATTCAATGGCTGGATGCACATTCGATCGAGTCACCCAACATTAAAATGCATGACTAGCATCGGTTGGGCATGGAGGTGTCACATTGGCTAATAAGTTTGGCTAATTGGCTAATAATATAATGCTTACAAGTGTACATTTGGTTCATTCAGGGGTAGAAATCTTTTGAACAAGCGAGTCCCTACCCTCAAAAAGAGGGAGTCTGCAGCAAAATGAGGTAGTCTGCAGTCTGAAGTTCGAAACTAAAGATCAACAATTAACAAACTTCATTAACAAAAAGGACATTTGCGGTGCACGTCTGCCAAATTTTCTTGGGACATTTGCTAAAAAAATACGGTAAATTAATTCCGCGAGTCCGTGCTCTGGAATGAACTAGTTAGTATAACAGAATTTTCAGGGAGTCTCACGGACCCCTGCATATGTCAAATCAGGGAGTCCGACAGTAAATCAGGGAGTATTTGACTCCGGACTCGGACTCGACGTTTATTTCGTACCCTGTTCATTGATTAGATTTTACTGCCAGTACCTCTGTAAGTGTGAAAAATAGTAACAGTAGCCTTATAAAAGTATTGATCGCTGCAGTCAGTAGGACTCTGCTGTTCTATTGCCTAATACTGCAGGTTATATTTGCATTATATTATACTTTATAGCAACACGCGTTTGAACATTAAAAACTACATGTAACATAAATGGTAGTTTTGCATTTCCTCCGTAATAGCGACGCATGTAATTTATTTCTATCTGCCAGCTAATTTACGATAGCTGTTTTGGCATTTCATCGAAAGCGAACAACTCGATAATTAATATCGCCCATCATTTACATCACTCGCAACCAAAGGCATCGGAAGCAATAAAATAGTGCCGCGGCTTTGGTGATAGGGCGAGCCCCGGGGAGGCGAAGCCACCCTAGGGGGGTCTGGTGGCATGCCCTCCCCCGTGAAAATTTTGAAATCTACAAGGTGGGCTCTGGTGCATTCTGAGCATTGTGATTTAGCACAAAAAAGTGTTTCACTGTCATTTTAGAAAAATACATGATGATTTGAAAGATTTGTTGCTTAACATTCAATAACTTAAAATATTCAATAATGACCAAAAACTCCAAATTTATTTTTCTCACTTTAACAGTGGAA